CCATGCAAATCCCAGCTCCCACTCCAATTATTTTTCTCTATCACCAAGTTGCTTATCTGAATAGAATCTTTCTATACTCAGAGGTGTGTCCTACAAGCAGGGAATGAGGCCATTTATGCTGACGGCATTTCCCGTGCTTGCTTGTCTTGGACACCAAATTTGCAAGATCTTGGGACTGGGACCCCAGAACTCAAAGAAGGTAGGAGACCAGTTAAAGAACAGAAGCTTTTCCCTGCCAGGTTAGTAAAAACTGCAGCAAGGCCTCATGTGGCAGTTTCTACAGGGTTTCAAAACTGTGTTCATTCTTTGAAAACCAAAAGAGCCACCTCTACTAAGCAACCAGTAGCTGTGGTTCCTCACATAGCTGGTTTACATCCTGACTTTACAGAGGCAGTGCCAGGTATCCAAAGACACTACTTTTGATCTTCACCAAGAGCCTGGCCCCTTTCCAAGCAGGTCATGAATACTCTCTACAAGTGGTTTTGCCAACAACATACACATTGGTTCCACTGCACGCACTCATTTCAAGTAATGCACTCTTCTTAAAAAAACAAACAAACTGGTTATAGAGATCAGAGTATGGGAGGTGGCCTTAAACATAATATCTGAAAGATAGCTGGCTGAGGCCCCAGCAAATAATTCTACTCTTGCTGCTCAGTTCTTAACCAAATCCTGAAGCAGGAGCCTTTGCAATGTTTTCTTGTTTGAATATCTCCATACTGCAAATGGAGATGCTGTTTTCTAGCTGAATTTATGCTGGGACAGGAGGTTATCAGATCAGAGAATTGGACTTGTTTCAGTCCCAGCCTAATCCTGAACCTACAGTACTATACAGTGTCTAAAGAGTCAAGGTGGCTGGATTTTTCCATACCCGGTTCATCTTCAGCAGAATGCATGGCTGGCCTCTTGAGTAGCCGAACGTTGGATCCTCAATTCCAGAACAATTCTGCAGAAGTGAGCGTTTGAACTGGCAGGCCCTCTTCTGCTCACTCTCATCCCCCTCTTGAATAAAGTACTGGCCTGCTATGCACTCAATGTTTTTTTCCTCTTGAACAGTGTCATTGTAATCTAAAATGAACCAAGAGGTGGTTAATGCTTTCCAGAACTTTGTCCAGGGCCCCACACTGTAGATACATCCTGACATCAGCAAAAGGATTTTCAGAGACGCCTAAGAGAGTGAGAAAATCCCATTGCAAGAGTCCAGATTTAATACGAGGCTAAGCAGAAGCTCAAGGTATGAAAATTGCACTGACCTTTGCAAGGAAAATATATTAATACTGTGCCAAGTACTATAAGCTTTATAGATGGGGGAACTGAAGCACAAGAGATGATTATGCACCCTCCATCCCCCCCCACCCAAGTGCCCCTGCCCAAAAGAATGGGTCATTATCAAGGAACCCAAAGCCTGCCTGGTGGCACCAGCTGCATAAGCACCAGTTGACCATGCCAATGCAGGCCTCGTGTCGCCATCCCCGCCTACTCAC